TTTATTGTAAGTATTTCTCTCATATTTAATTCATGAAAAATGGTTGATTTGGGAAAAATGCTTGTTTGTGTTGGATTTGTTATGAATAGCTAATTCCAATTGCTAGGGATAAGAGATGATTTTTCTTGTTTAATTCGTATCTCTCGGGCTTAAATTGTTCATTCTTGTGTGGGTTAATTTGATTAAGAATTGATGAAATCCTGCTTGATTGATTGATATAATTGAAGGGTGACACTTCAATCTTGCGATTAGAAATAACTGGATATTGATTTGTCGAGTTAAGGTTTTGTTGATTTTAAGAATTAGTCGGTTAATCACCCTCTAATTTAATTGAGCAATCTTTGGAACCGAAAGGGAAAAAAAAATGTAGTCTTTGGCTTGCACAAGATAGATGATTTTTTAACGGAATAGGCTATAGATTTGGATTGAAATACATGCTTGACTATGTCCCATTCCTTGTTACGTGAGTTATTGGAATCGAACTTCTAGGCCGGCATTGTATGCTCGAACTTACTCGTCTATGTTCAATCCTTTGTTACGAAAAGTTATAGGGAATGAACCACTAGATGTTTAAGCGAGAGTGTCAATCTTAAATTGAACAATTAATACCTCGATTTTACGAATAAAACTTGAATTGATTATCCCTGACTCTCTAGCTTCTTCATCCTTGTTTCGTTTGCATTTTTAGATAGATTATTATTTTTATATTATTTCTTAGCTGGTAAGTATCATATCTCCAATCGTGATTAGATTGTTTAGGTTTTATTTTCTTTTTATGTGTTATCAATATCAAAGCTGAATTCCGAACCGCCTTCCTTGTGAGATCGACCCGGGGAAGGAATCTTTCGATTCGATACTTGGTAAAAAATAAAAATTTGTGCTTCAACAAATTTGGCGCCGTTGCCGGGGAAGGCAAGTAAAATGTTTGGTTTTGGTATTGATTTTATTTTTCGTGTTTCTCTTTGTTTTGTGTTTTTCATATTTGTGTTTTTTCTTTTGCGTTTCTTTGTTTTTCTCTTTGTTTTTGTTTTTGTCTTTTCTTTTCTTCCTTTTCGTGGCTACGTGTGGTTGTTCTATTTTGGTGTGCAGTTATTATGAACTACAACCGTGATTACCCATTACAGCACACCCAACCCTGGGTTCACGAGCTGAGCTATCACGTCGGGCATCACTACCAGCCATATTCATACCCTTTCGAGCAGTACTGGAACCCCTTCCCAGTCGAGCAATATCATGAGTCCAACGATTTCAATGAGAAGCTCGACTGTATCTATGCTTTCGCATCATCCCGGTTGGCTAAGGAAGAAGAAACCACAGCCCAGTGTGCCTTTCTGAATCAGTCACCTCCACTCTATGATTCTTGGGATTATGGCCATACATGGGCATATCCTTACAAGCAGCAGTGGAATTTCGGGCCTGTTGAGCAGCCATATGAGTCTTTCGAGGACTCCTCAGAGTACAATGCAAAGCTCGACCAGGCTCTCGCTCTTCTAGCATCCCAAGCAGCCCGTAGGAGCAATATGGATTCCAGAATCGAGAATCTTGTGGAGCGCGTGCAAGCTTTAGAGGATCGAGCTACTAATTTCTCTCCCAAGATCACCGCTCAAGG